AGGCAGTGGAGTTGGCGCAGGATAGAGCAGGATTTAGGGCTGTTGTGCATAGGGTCGCTATGAGTCGCAAAGGACTCAACAGCACATAACAACAGCAAACAACATGCCAAAAGAACTTCAGTTTCTTGGCTTTTAGCATTTGCAGTAGTTACTGGTTTCTACCTCTACCAAAACCAGTAAGAAACGTCTCCTTTTTCATTTAAAGGAAATTTATCTAAGGCTGAACAGTCACTCTGTTAACAGGCAAGATGGTAAATCTTGGACATAGAGGTCCTTTTCCCTACTGGCAATATTCAAGGATCTTATAATGTACCTAACACCAGAGTTTCTCAGTCCTTCTACCCACTGGATATTAATGAGAAACCAGTGACTTCACCTTCCTGGTTCCCAGTATTCTTGTGGTAACACCTAACGCTGCTCTGGGAAGCTCTCTGAAGTTCACACAATCAGATTTGTATAAAGTTATCCCTTCTTTCCCTAGCCTGGAGGTTCTGTCACTAGGCTGGAGCATTGTGGGACTTGAGTGCAGGTAACATAAGTATTACATTTTATTCTTTTTTTCAGTTATAACAAAGTTCCTTCCCCTATAGCTGCTTTTCCTTTTCCAGAGAATACTTATTTTGTCTCTCCTCTCCATATTCCTAGGGTGCTTTGTGGCTTAGTGCTAAACCCAAAGGCATGTGGTTTGAATCCACCAGCTGAAAGATGGACAACTTCCTTTTGTGAGACAGCCTCTGAAAGTGTGCTACGAGTGAACTGTGAGTCAGTTTTGACTGAGAGCACACAGTAATAGCCCCATTCCCTAAGTAAGTTGCTGAGGTCCTCATCAATAAGTTTTTCTTACCACAACTCTCTTGAGACAAGGAACTATCCAGTTGAAGGATAAGCACATTTATTTGGTATGGAAGGATAAACAAAACACAAATTATTATTTTAGTAAATTACCCCTCAAGGTAATGTATATTGGCATTTCTCAGAGATTAAGTCTCCGACAGCTGCAGGTAAATTCCAGGTTAAGATGAGCAGAAGGGCTGGATTCTGCTAAGGTGTGTTTTCTGGTTTGGGGTTGAGACCAGGGTGTGGCTTTTGTTCACAACAGGGCGTGAACAGATTGATTTGGCCTTGTATTTAAAAAGACTTTCTGGCCCTCAGGCCTGCTTTTTGTGGATCTTCGGAATAAAATAGGCTTGGAAGCAGGAGTGGCATTGACTTCCAAAATAAGCTTGCCTCCAGAAACTCTATGAACTTGGAGAAAAGATGAAAGTTTTGTGTTCAAGAATTTCGTTTATAAGGTCGCTATGGGTTTTCTAGGACCTGACGTTACTTAACAACAACAACACAACCTCACTAGCAGTTTCCTGGATGAGTGGTAACATTACTCAAGCTTTTCCAAGTCAGAGTTTATAAAACCAAAGAATGAGTAAATTTTCTGCTTTCCTAAAGAGAAGTATAATCTCTCTCTCCACTTAGCCTGTGTACTTGGGAGACGAAGGATTTTGTTTTTATTCTGGTTAAGGTTCTCAAAGAATGGGCTATAGATGACACGGGGAGGGAGACTTTCATTATTTTAGAATGGTTGAGCTAATGACCTGTATGTGGTGGTGGTGGTGTTACATGCCGTCAAGTCACTTGCGACTCATAGCGACCCTATGGACAACAGCCCCAAACTCTGCTCTGTCTTGTGCCAATCGCACTGTCTCTGACACTCCCATTCCGATAACCCCAAGTCACCAAATCAATCCACCTCATAGAGGGCCTTCCCCTCCTGCTCCGTCCCTCCACCCTCCCCAGCATAATGACCTTCTCCAAGGACTGGTCTCTTCTTACAACATGGCCAAAGTATGTATGTGGTGTAAGAGAGAGAAAAACAAGGACAGGCATTCTTGTCAGAACTTAGCTCCTCTCTCATGCCTCACTATTGAGACTCAGCACATTACATCTCAGGAAACTAAAGATGGACAGTTTCTTTGGATTTAAAGGTAGTTGTTAGTGGTCTGTGATAAAGGCAGTCACACACAAATTTAATTTTGGGTGTTAAAGAGTTTGTGGTTTGATTCCTATCTGCTGCCAAGTCTTATTTCTGATGTACTCCTCTTTCTTCAGTCTCTAGGTTGTCTTTCTTGACTCTAAATGGAATAAGCAACCAATTCTTTCTGCTTTAAAGATATCACGGGGACAAGGTTTTAGTCTTCAATTCTTCTTTTGGGTTGTTCCAAAAGAAGATAGTTTCCAGAGCAAAAGAAAGTAGGACAGTTAAAAACAGCAGCCTTGTAAGATAACTAAAAATCTAGTGAGAATTATTTTCAGAAATACAGTATTGCGTTAAGCAATACAGTACTGTAATTTTCTTGTTGTTTCCTCTTTAATCCTTCACAGCTCTTGAATTATGATTGTAAAAATTAACTCAGAACACTGATGAAAATAAAGTTTAAATGCTTGTTAATGTGTTATATATTAGTAGAAATAACAGTAAACATTATTGAAGGAAAAGCAATCATTAATCATTTTGGGTAAGTAGTATTTTCCCCTTCCTTTCAATGTGGACTTCATTTTGGCTTTTCAACCCATTGCAATTGGGGTGTGTGTGGGGGGGGGGGGATAGGGAGAATGATTACACAATTCTAAGGACTGTATACTCAGTGTCACTAAATTGTACATATTGAAACTGTTGGTGTTTTTGCGGTGTATATTCTCAACAAGATGCCAAAATATCTATCTGCTCTTGTGATTTACTGCCTCTGAGAACAAGCTGGAAGGTCAGATACAAGTTGGTTACAACTGGACTTCACACAACAACAAAGAGATTACTCATTTAAAAGTCATTTTATGTCTAGTGTAAAATAGGGTTACAAGCTCTAGAGAAGAAAAACCAGATAATAAAGTTTTCTGTCCTCTAGAAACCAGACTCATTGTTGCTCAGTCAATTGATACATGTTCTTAAAGAGAAAAAAATTCACAAAATGAATGGAAGTTTATGTGAAAATGGCATCTGGTCAGCACAGCCCTTGTAACATTTAATTCTCAAGCTTTTTTTTTTTTTTAACTTTACATTGATTTGCAAACAACGTTTGAATATATTGTATTTCACACTATCCTTCATTCACATAGTGTTTCATAAAATCACTCTTATGTGTTTTATACAATCAATCACCATTGAACTATGCTGACCATTACCCTGTATTTTCAGGTCCCTGCTGGATCTTTCCCATTTCCTTTACCAACACCCTTCCACTCACCAAATTGTGTGACCCTATGATTTCCCCCCTGCCCCCTTCAATCCTCTATTCCCATCTATTCCCTCATTGGATCTCCATAAATGTTTTACTAGTTATCCTTCTGTTTTTACAACAGTGCTAAGCAGTGTTTATCCTTAGGAGACTGAGTTAGTTCAGCATAACGCCCTCCAGTCTCTCCCAAGTTATGTAATTTTAGAAATCATTGTTCCTGAGTGATGTATAATATTCCATTGTGTGAATGTGCCACAATTTCTCAATCAATTCAATTGTGGTCTAACATTTGGCCGTTTCCATGTTCTTGTGATGGTGAATGATGCTGCTATGGACGTTGGTATACAAATCTCTGTGTCTCAGTTCTAATTTCCTTGGGATATATTCCTATAAAAAGTGGGATAGGTGGTTAATATAGAATTTCTATCTCCAGTTTTTTGAGGAAATGCTAAACTGCCTTCCAGAGTGGTTGGAACATTTTACAATCCCACCAACAATGTATTAGAGTTCTCTCTCTCCAGCATTTATTGCTTGTTGCCACTGTTACTAGGGTGAAATGTTATCTTGTGTTTTGATTTGCATCTTTTATTGCTAGTGATTTTGAGCATTTCTTCATGTGTTTATTTGCCATCTGAAAGTCTTCCTCTGTGAAAAGTCTTTCCATGTTTCTTGCCTATTTTTGAATTGGATCATCTGTCTTTTTCTTTTGAAGGCCCTATGTTGTTCTGTGCTGTCAGGTTGCCTGCCACTCATAGCGGCCCTATGAACTTTGCTCTATCCTGAGCCAATCTTATTGTCTCCGACACACCTACTCCCATTACTCCAGTCACTGAATCAATCCATCTCATCCAGAGTATTCTCCTCCTGTGCTGTCCCTCCACCCTTCCAAGCATGACATCCCTCTTCAAGGACTGGGTTCCTCCTTGCAACATGCCCAAAGTATGTCAGACAAAGCCTCAGAATCCTTGCCTTCAGGGAGCAGCCTGGTTTCACCCTTTCAAGAACGAACTTGTTTGTTCTCTTGTCAGTCCATGGTATATTCCACACTTCTCCAGCACCACAGCACAAAGGCATCAATTCTCCTTCAGTCATCCCTAGTCATTGTTCAGCTTTCTGATGCATAGCAAGTAATTGCGAAGACCTCCTAAGATTCTTTAAACTTTGGTTACGAGAACCTTGTCTGATATTGTATTGCCAAATACTTTTCCCCAACCAGTAGATATTTTTCACCCTGTTGGAAAAAGTTCATGATGTGGACAGGGATTTAATCTTAAAAAGGTTCCATTAATCAACTTTATCCTTTCCTGGTTGTATAATCTAGCTGTATTTGTCAAGCTCTTTTAGAGACTAACTGCGTAGTCACTGGGGGACACTTGGGAACCCAATCTTTCCTCATATTCCTATTTAAAGCGAAGACTACATGCTCCTTTTTGCTTTCAGTTCTTAAGGGGTTGATGCATCATTCCCTTCTCGATTGTTACCTGAAGGACTTTCAGGTGTGAAATTCCTTTACCTGTGCCAGTGAGGCACGTGACCACATGCAAGCCAGCACTGACTGAATTTTCCTTCCTGGTTTTAGGTGAAATGGCCGTGGGGTTACACCAATGGGCTCAGTCCGATCCCTCAGATGGGCGGGACCTTGAAAAGTAAACTCCGCCCCAGCCGTGCGTGGCGTGCGTGCGTAACGCTTTGCGGAATGGGTAGATTTCTCCAGCACGTGGCGCCCCCCGGCGGCCGTGCCTCTTAATACCACGGTAGGAGCTTAGTTCGGCCATGGAGTCGGAAAGAGAAGCGCCAGTGTCCGGAAACCTTGATGCGCAGCCACCGAGGGACTCGAAGTGCCAGACTTCAAAGGAGGAGGAGGAGGAGCCGGAGGGAGGCGCGGCGGCTGGAGTGGCTACTGAAGGCACGCAGGCGGAAGGCGCCAGTGCAGACGGGCTATGGGAACTACCGGTGGAGCCAGCCGAGCGGAGGCCGGAGTGCCGCCGCTGCAGGTGACCGAGGGGCCGGGAGCGGGGACGGTGGCTCGGGTCGGCCTTCGGAAGAGGTAGCGGCGCCACCTGCCGGGGTGGAGGCCGCATCGTCGGCTCATGCAGCTCTGTGGGCTCCTGGGCTTTGCAATTGCTATGCAATCCCAGGGGTAACTCTCTTATCTAGAGTCATAATTATTTAACGTTAACGTCCTGCAAGGGACTGACCATGTCATGCCATGAGCTGACCTAAGTTTGGCTTTCAAGAAATTTACAATCTGACTGAGGAAGTAAGACTTAGTATTGACAATAATGCTTGTGATGGTTAACATCCTCCCTACCCCAACCTCTTTAGTGACATAGTTACCAGATGCCACCCAGTCAGGTATAACTCAGTGTCCTTATGAAGAACAGATCACAATTATGCTCTTTCCTGCTGCATCTTCACAATCTCTGCTGTGCTCAAGTCCATTGCTGCAGTCACTGTGCCATTCTCTTTGCTGGTCTTCCTGTCTGAGCCTCTACTTTTACCACAGACTGTTGCCTCCTGACAGCATGGCCAAAGTATGAGAGACACACTTTAATCATCCTTGCCTCTAAGAAGCACCCTATTTGCACTTTCTCCAAAACAAATTTGTTTGCTCGTTTTCTTTTTGCAATATACTTATTGCCAACACCAAACTTCAGAGGAACTAATTCTTCAGCATTCCTTATTGGAAGTTCAACTTACGGGAAAACCCAACTGTCACATGGATAGGAAACAACTGAAATACTTTTGCTTGGGTTAGATACACCATAGTCCTTAAGTTGACATCCTTGCTCTTCAATGTTTCAGAGAGGTTCTTGCCAGCAGATTTGCTCAGCTTTTGCATCCTTGCCTGCTGCTCTCATGGATCCAAGTAAAAGAAAATTGTTGACAACTTCATTCTTTCTCCATCTATCCTGATTTTTTCCATTGGTTTGGTGTGAGAGTTTTTATTTCCTAGACAATGAGAGGTAATCCATAGAGAAGACTGTAGTGTTTGATTTTGTGCATTAAGAGATTCATGTAGTCTTCACTTTCGTTTTAGGTACTAAATATCTTTATTTTTAAAAAAATTCTTTTATTATTATTATTAATTTCAGTGAACATCTACAGAGATTTTGG